ATAGGTGTCCAGCTAGGCTCTGGGTATGGGGTCGTGCGCTCCTGGCTGCGTGCCTTCAGGTGGCAGGAGAGGCCAGGAGGAGGCACGGGCATATCCCACAGCCCAGAGCACAGGCCCTTCAGAAAAATGAGCCATGGAAGGATGTGGGGACAAGCAGGCGGCGCGCTTGGATCAGTTTCCACTCCCACGAGACAACTCACTCACTTTCTGATTCTCTTGGTGTGACAACACCTCTAGGCTGTGCTCCCCTTGGAGAGGAGACTACAAACTCTGAAAAGGATTTTTTTCTTTATTGTGGTAAAATATATATAGTATAAAATTTTTAATATTACCCGAACTGCTGTGGCTCAGTGGATTGAGAGCCAGCCTGTGAAATGAAGAGTTGCTGGTTCGATTCCCAGTCAGGGCACATGCCTGGGTTGCAGGGCAGGTCCCCAGTAGGGGGCGCGCGAGAGGCAACCACACACTGATATTCTCCTCTTTCACCCTCCCTCTCTAAAAATAAATAAGATCCTTACAAAAAATAAAATTTCCAATATGAACCACGTTTAAGTACACAGTTAAGTACATTCACGCTGCTGGACAACCGTCACCACCATCTACCTCCAAAACTCTTCTCATCTTCCCGAATAGAAATGCTCTCCCCATTAAACACTGACTCCCCATTTCCCTTCCCCGAACTCCTGGCGACTGCCGTTACCCTCTGTCTCTGTGAATTGGTCCGTTCTAGATGTCTCCTTTGAGTGGGGTCCTAACAGAATGGGACCTTGGGTGACTGGCTTATTTCACTTAGTATGATGTCCTTGGGATTCATCCAGGTTGTAGCAGCTGTCAGCATTTGCTTCCTTTTTACAGCTAAATAATATTCCTTTAAATGCATATACCACAATTTGTTCATCCATTCACCAGTCAATGGCTATTTGGTTGTTTCCACCTTTCTTTTCTTTAATCCTCACCCAAGGATATGTTTATTGACTTTAGAGAAAGAGAAACATCAATTGGTTGCCTTGCATACACACCACGACCAGGGATCGAACCTGCAACCCAAGCATGTGCCCTGACTGGGGATAAAACCCACAGCTTTTTGGTGTACAGGATAACACTTCAACCAACTGAGCCACCTGGCCAAACCTGACTGTTCCCACCTTTTGTCTATTGCAAATAATGCTGCTAGAAATGTGAGGGTACAAACATCTGTTCAAGTCCCTGCTTTGTTTTGGGTATATACTCAGAAGTGGCGCTGCTGGATCATGTGGTAATTTTATGTTTAATTATTTGAGGAGCCGCCATACTCTCTTTCATAGCAGCTGCACCATTTTACAGTTTCACTAACAGTGCATAAGAGTGCCAATTTTTCCACAGCTTTACCTTGTTACTTCTATTTTTCTTCTTGTTCTTTTTTTCACAAGAGCATCCTAAGGGGAAAGGAGAGAGAGAGGGAAGAGAAGCAACAATGTATGGTTGCCTCTCTCGCGCCCCCTACTGGGAACCGGGGCATGTGCCCTGATTGGGAGTCAAACCCATGACCCTTTGGTTCAGACGCAGGCGATCAATCCACTGAGCCACACCAGCCAGGGCTGAAAGGAGTTTTTAAAAGCACAGCAGGTTCATGCTGGTCTAGGCATCAACACAGAGCAAATTCAAAGATCTGGCTTTCCTGAGACTGTCTCCACAAGGCCTGTCCCAGGGCAGGACCCTGCCCCACACTCACCGACTCCCTGGCTGTCCTTGCCCACACTTCACACACAGAAATCCCAACACTGTGGCTGGCTTTCCACAAATGCCTTCACACCCAACAACTATCTTGTTTCTCTCCCCTAAGCTCTGTCTCACCTGGGCTCTCACACTAGACACACCATAAATGACCTGTCGCCCAAATGTCACCTGCCCTCTCCCCATCTGCAGGTCCTTAAAGGCTCCGAGCAGTGAGGCAGTCCAGCTGAGCCTACGCTGTGGCCAGACCTCCTGCGCCACTCCATTCCCTGGGAAGGTCCTTTCAAGCGTCAGTGAGCTGTGACCAGTTTGGCTCAGTGGGTTGGGCGTCATTTTGCAAAGCCAAAGATCGCCAGTTCAAAACCTGGTCAGGGCACATTCCTGAGCTGTGAATTCTGTCCTGGGTCAGGGTGCATACAAGAGGCAATAATAGATTGATGTTTCTTTCTGATGATGATGAGAGACATCGATGTCTCTCTCTCTCTCTCCCCCCCTCTTTCTAAATATAAATAAATAAGATCTTAAAAAAATAAAGAGTGAAAGCCCCCAACAGAAAAAGCCATGCCCTTGGCTTTCCTGAGGGTGAGGCTCCACGCAAACACTACCACGCGGCAGTGCCACTAAAGCTGACACTTCCAGAGAGACAAAGGTCCTCACCATGTAGGACCCGATCAGGCCTCCCCAGTTTCCAGCCACCTCCTCTTTCCCCTTATCTCCTCGGCTGCAGGCATTTCATAATGGTCAGCCAGACAGCTTGTTAACAGTGACAAAAGGTCCTAGAAGGAGCAGATTCTAAAATTGGGTGACCTCAATATCCACAACAGTGCCTGGCACATAATAAGAGCTTCACAAGGGTCTGCTGAACAAATCAAAACTAAGTCATCAAAACAAGACTCTCGCCCTGGCTGGTGTGGCTCAGTGGATTGAGGGCCTGCGAAGCGAAGGGTCGCTTGGATTCCCTGTCAGGGCACAGGCCTGGGTTGCAGGCCAGGTCCCCGGTAGGGGGCGCGCGAGAGGCAACCACGCAGGGATGTTTCTCTCCCTCTTTCTCCCTCCTCTCCCCTCCGTCTAAAATAAATAAATAAATAAATAAATAAAAGAATAACCGAAAAAAAGAAGAAAGAAAGAAACAAAAAAAGAAAGAAAGAAAGAAAAAGACTCTGTCTTCCACCACAGTGACCAGCCAGCCAATGGACGCTGGAAGTTGGTGTGTGGCAACCGGGGAGCTAGAAAATTAGCCAATGTCACATTTTCACATTTTTAAGTTTAAAGGCATAGGATGTAGGTACAAATAACAGCATCAGTCATGGGTTTTCTTTTTTTTCAGGTTGATTTTTTTCTTCTCTGATTCACTAACTCCCTTGAACACATAAGCTGAGCTGAAGCAACACTTTTAGTTTGACCCTGTAGTTGTTTGTTTTTCATTAACTGACACCTCCGTTCAGGTTTCCTTAGAGATGACATAGTGTTTTACTTCACGTGTCCTTAGGCTCCTGCTTAGGAGAGTCTCTCAGACTCTACATCTTTAACAGGCTGTCTCTCAATTTATTGGGTTGGCTAAAAAGTTGGTTTAGTTTTTACCCTACGATGGCTCTAGTAGCGCTTAGTTGTCTTTAACTTCATTAGAAACAATTGGGCTAGACTGTATTGTGACAGCTGCCACATCAATGTGCATTAATAAAAAAACACTTATCAAAATTGGTGAATTTTCGTGCAGCCAGTTTAATATGGAAGACGGAAGAAAACAGGCAACATTTTCAGCATATTGTGCTTTATTATTTCAAGAAAGGAAAAAATGCAACAAATGAAAGAAAAGTGTATGGAGAAGGTGCTGTGACTGATCGAACGTGTCAAAAGTGGGTTGCGAAGTTTCTTGGTACTACTGACATTTTGGCCAAATAATTCTTTGCCCTGGGGCTCTCTTATGCCTTGGAAGATGCTTAGCAACAGCCCTTGGCTTCCCCACCAGAAGCCAATAGCGGGAGACAACCGACAGACTCAGAATCTCCAAATCAATAAAGTTATTGGGGAAAATGACTTTATTTTACGGAAAAAACCCTAAACGGACTTTTTGGCCAGCCCAATAGTTTGTGGGTGTTTTTCTCACGGTTAGACTGGGCGGTGGGCTTTCGGGAGGACAACCGCGGAGGAGAGGTGCCCGTCTCCTCACCCTGCCCAGGGCACGTGCGTTCTTTATTTCTGAGTCACAGCAAACACTTGAGCCACCCCGGACGCCCGCCCGGCACTCCCGGAAGAACAAGCCCCGCCCCCCCGATGTCTGCCTGTCACCTGAGAGTCACAATTGCACGCTAAGGCACCCCTACTTGGTTTTAGTTAGATTGTATGTACGGACTGCCCCGTTTTCACTTCAGCGCTGAATTCTTTAAACAAATATCCGTGGCTTTGTTTTCACTCCCCACGCTAGGTCCCTTTATCGCTTTCCTGAAGGCCCTCGGGGACCCGAGGCCACTCGAAACGGATCGCCTGCGCTCTGGAATGTAAACTACGAAAGGAGTTGGTTCTCCAACTCGGACTCGCGGCTGACACCCACTTTCTCAGTCCTTCCAGCCGCAGAACCTACCTTCCGTTTCAAAGCACAAAGCGCGCTGCTCGGTCAAGCGCGCCCGGCCTCCGAGCACCGAGGGGCGCGGGCGGAGAAGGACCGCGACGCCGTCGCTTTCCACCCCGGCGAGGGCTGGGTTCGCCGCTGCGGCCCCCGCACGCGGCTCAACCGGTCCATCTGGGGTTTTAGGACCGTGCCGTGCGTCTCCTCAGTGGCGATCCCCTGCTTTCAGACGGTTCACGTCTAAACCCAAGCAGGATCCAGCCAGGACTCACGGGCGGCAGCCCCGGAGGGCAGAGCCCCCTCGCCGGCCGGCGAGCGCGCAGTTCTCACGTGGGCGCCCGCGCGGCCGCCGCAGGCAGCGCGAAACCAGGCCGGGCCGCGGGCTGCGCCCACTTCGGGGACACCGTGCACGGGAGGTTTCCCCGGCGGCGGGTGCGGGGACCGGGACGGTCCGGGAAGGAGAAGAAGCGGGCTGGAGACACCCTATGACCTGAACAAGGCCTCCCCGGCCACTGGGAAGGGACAGAAGCGGTGGCGGCGACCCAACTACCATCGCTCGGGCGCCGGGTGATTCGGGGCGGCCTCGGGAGCGGCCCCGCTGGAGACGCGAGCGGCGCGCAGGGCCGCGTCCCCATCCCCGGCTCCGGCGGGACCCCGAGCAGTCCGCCGGCGGCCGCCCTCCACCCCCGCCGACCCCAGCGCAGTCCGCGGCCCGCCCTACCTCTCCGCTTGGCGCGCACGATGCCCTTCTTCTGCAGCACGAACGTGGACCCGTTCACCAGGCTAGACACGACGGCCACGCCCAGGCCGAGCGACACGGCGGCGGGGCTCGGGCTGCGCGCCCCCTCCCCGGCCGCCGCCGCCGCTGCCGCCGCTGCAGTCCCCATTCCGCCCGCGCCCGCCCTCCGCGCCTGCGCACGCGCGCCGCCGGCCTGGGGGCGGGGCCGGGAGCCGCGGGGCAGGCTCGGGGTGCGGGGTAGGGGCGGGCTCCCGGGAGCCGTGGGAGCGGGGCCGGGGGTGGGGCAGGGCGGGACGCCGAGCGGGCTCCAGTGTCTGCGGGCCTGGCCCCAGCAGTGGGAGTGGAGAGGAGCGGAGTGGTCGTGGGGAGGCTTTAAGGATGAGGAGGGAGGGGGGCCTGTAGGTGGGCCTGTGGGGAGATGGGCTTCCCAGAGTGGGCAACCCAAAATATGCAGGGCATGCATTTTCCACGTCAGACAAATAGTTGCGTGTGTGGCCCTGGCTGGGTAGCTTAGTTGTCTAGAACATCGTCCCAAAACGCCCAGGTTGGAGGTTTGATCCCAGGGCACATGGAAGAATCAATATTCAGGTACACCAATAAGTAGAACAACAAACGATGTTTCTGTCAATCTCTCTGTCCTTAATAATCAATCAATACAAATAAAATTCTTTTTTATTGTTGTTCAATTACAGCTGTCCCAATTTTCCCCACGTTGCTCTCCCCTGCCCCGCCCCCCCCCCCCCCGGCAATCCCCACCCTGCTGTCCACGTTCATGGGTCCTTTATACATGTTCCTCGACTAGACCCTTCCTTTTCCCCCGTTACCCCCTCCCTCCTCCCCTTTGTCAATGTCAGTTTTTTTATTCCCATGTCTCCAGTTCTGTTTTCTTATTCGTTTGTTTTGTTCATTAGGTTCCACTTATAGCTGAGATCACATGGTGTTTGTCTTTCACCACCTGGCTTACGTCACTTAGCATAATACCCTCCAGTTCCATCCATGCTGTAGCGAAGGGTAGTAGCTCCTTTCTGCTGCGTAATATTCCACTGGGTAAAGGCACCACAGTTTTTTTGATCCACTCATTTACTGATGGGCACTTAGGCTGATTCCAGCACTTGGCTACTGTAACTAACGCTGCTATGAATACTGGGGTGCCTAGGTTCTTTTGAACTGGTGCTTCAGGATTCTTAGGGCATAATCCCAGCAATGGGATCACTGGATCAAAAAGCAGTTCCATCTTTAGTTTTTTGAGGAAATTCCAAACTATTTTGCACAGTGGCCGCACCAGTCTGCATTCCCACCAACAGTGCACTAGGGTTCCCTTTTCCCCATATTCCTCCCAGCACTTGTCTTTTGTTGATTTATTAGAGATGGTCATTCTGACCGATGTGAAGTGGTATCTCATTGTGGCTTTAATTTGCATTTCTCTAATGGCTAGTGATGCTGAGCATCCTTTCTCATGTCTATGAGCCCTCTGTATGTCCTCAGTGGAGAAGTGTCTGTTCAGGTCCTTTGCCCATTTTTTCTTAATTGTATCATTTGTCTTCCTGGTGTTGAGTCCTATGAGTTCTTTGTATATTTTGGAGATCAAACCGTTGTCTGAGGTATCATTGGCAAATATATTTTCTCATACAACTGGTTCCCTTTGCATTTTGCTGATGTTTTCTTTAGCTGTGCAGAAGCTTTTTAAGTCGATGTAGTCCGATTTCTTTACTCTTTCCTTTATATCCCTTGCTCTAGGAGAAATATCAGTAAAGATATTGCTGCATGGTATATCTGACATTTTACTCCTTATATTTTCCAGGGAAAAAAAAGTCATCCAAATTGGAAAGGAGGAAGTAAAACTGTCATTGTTTGCAGATGACATGGAAAACCCCATAGACTCCACCAAAAAACTACTCGACCTCATAAGTGAAGTTGGAAAAACTGTGGGATACAAAGTCAATATTCAGAAATCAAAGGCACTTTTGTACACCAAGAATGAAATACCAGAAACAGAAACTCGGGAAAAAAATCCCATTTACTGTAGCAACAAGAGAAATAAAGTACCTAGAAATAAACTTAACCAAGGAGGTAAATGACCTGTACTCAGAAAACTACACAACATAGAAGAAAGAAATTAAGGAAGATACAAATAAATGGAAGCCTATATCATGTTCATGGATGGAAGAATTAACATCACTAAAATGTCCATACTACCCAAAGCAATGTATAGATTCAACACAATCCCTATCAAAATGCCCATGGCAAATTTCACAGTAGTTTAGAACAAATATTTCAAAAATTTATGTGGAACCGTAAATGACCCCAAATAGCCTCAACAAGGCCACGGTAATCAAAACAGCCTGGTACTGGCATAAGAACAGACACATGGATCAATGGAACAGAATAGAGAGCCCAGAAAGAAATGCATGTCTCTGTTGTCAATTAATATTTGACAAAGGGGACGGGAGCATAAATGGAGTAAAAATAGCCTCTTCAGTAAATGGTGTTGGGAGAGCAGGGCAGCTACATGAGAAAAAAAAAAATGAAACTAGACCACCAACTTACACCATACACCAAAATAAACTCAAAATTGATTAAAGACTTAAATATAAGTTGTGACACCATAAAAATAAAATTATTTTTTAATTTAAGATTTTATGTATTTCTTTTTAGAGGGAGGGGAAGGAGGGGAGAGAAACAGGTCGGTTGCCTCTGGCACGCCCCTCACTGGAGACCCAGCCCACAACCCGCGATGTGCCCTGACTGGGAATCGACCCGCTGACCCTGTGTTTCCCAGGCCTGCACACAGTCCACGGAGCCACGCCATCCAGAGCTAGAATTCTTTAAAAAGAATAATTGCATGTGTCCCATGCACTCTTTGGGGCTGAAGAGCACCAGCGGGGCACAGCCCTTCCAGGATCGCGGTCCCTGAGTAACCGTCACTGGGAGGCTGACAGGGAGCCAGCCACCCCTACGCCAAAAACCAGGGCCATCAGCTGTAGAAACTCAGCTGGCGCCATGGAATGGGGTGTGGAGGCAGCTGAGCGAGCACTGGAGTTGGTATCTTAACATCTCATTTCCTAATTTTTTTTAATTTTTACTTTTTATTCTTCGAGAACTGAGATTATATTACATTTAGAAGTACAGCACAGTGATCAGACATTTATACAACATACAAAGTGTTCACCGGATAAGTCTAGTACCCACATGACGCCATACATAGTTACTACAATGTTTTTAATAGTAGGGTCCCATTTATTAATAATCATTTGCATTCATAAACAAACAGATTTCTTGTAGTATTAGCATTAACATGGATAATCTGCATAGTGAAAATTTGGATAATATCTACTTCATTCTTTTTTGACATAGCATGTATTATTTTTTCCTTCACTAATCTTCATTTATGACAATAATTCAATTCCATTATAACTGATAAGAAGAAAGCAAAATGTCCTTTGAAGAATCAGCTTTAAAAAAATGTGCAAATTTTGGTATTTTTATTGTATTTAAAATAATTTCTTAAAGTTTTCAATTACAGTTAACGTACAATATTATATTAGTTTCAGGTATACAACATAGTTTTAGACATTTACTGTATTTTGCAGTGCATAAAGTGCTCCCACGCTTGTGGCCCAAACTTTCAGGAAAAAAATCTTTTGTTTTAACTTTTTAATTCAATTATTTATCTATATTTAGAAACAAAATCGATTATCATATTATAAGGTATTATTTTGCATACACATATCACACTTGCTTTCTAGAGTTGCACTTTTAATGCACAAGCATAAATAAAAGAATTAAAAACCCTTATATAGCTATGGAATTAGTACTACCCATGTATAATGCACATCCTTGCTTTTCACTCAAAAACTGAGTGAAAAATTGAGTGCGCATTATACACAGCAAAATATGGTATATAACTTGCCATGTGATTTTGCCCCTCCCCCTTAAGTCTAGTACCCACTTGGCACCATATATAGTTAATACAATACCATTCACTCTATTCCCTATGCTATACTTTACATCCTTGTGACTGTTTTTATAACTGGCAAATTGGATATCTTAATTATTTCCCCTTTTCCCTCCGGTACCCCAGTCCCTTCTCCTCTGCCAGCCATCAAAATGTTCTCTGTATCTGAGTTTATTTCTGTTTTATTTATTCATTCATTTATTGTATTTTTTAGATTGCACATGTAAGTGAAATCGTATGGTATGTGTCTTCCTCTGCCTGGCTTACTTCATCTAACATAATATCCTGTAAGGTCCATGCACGTCGTCAAAAACGGCAAAATTTCATTCTTCTTTATGGCCACGTAGTATTCTACTGTGTATATGTACCCACTCTTTTTTGTCCAACTGTCTATTGATGGACACTTAGGTTGCTTCTGTATCTTGGCTAATTACCTAATTTATTTTTATTGAAATACGCCTAAATTACAGAAAGCATGAAAAACAGGAAATAGCAATTTAAAAATTACTGAATCCCACAACCCTAGCCTAATTTTTCTTTTAGGTGTTTTTCCATTTAAAATAAACATAATTGTACTTGTTTCCAATTACAATATACAAAATATCTATGTTATTTAATGTATTATAATCAGCTTGCATGTTTTTTACATAACTGTGGTCATATTAATGATAATATAACTTCCCATAAAGTTAATTACCATAATTTGTCTATTTAACTATTGTTGGTTGTGAGGCTGCTACCTGTTTTTTTCTACCCTAGATGATGCCATTAAGAACATGTTCATAAATTTAAAATATTAAACTTACCCTCTATTAAAATACAGGTTACACAATATATACTTATACCTACCTATATGCAGCATTATTAGTTTGTGAAGCAATACAACATATGGGTATTATTTCTGTATGAAAACTTCTATGCTGCATAAATCTAGATCATTGCTTATTCTTTTTTGTTGTGATAACATACATGCATATAACATAAAACTTGCCATTTTAACCATTTTTAAATGTATAATTCAGAGGCATGGATTCCATTGGCAAAGCTCTGCATCTGCATCACTATTTCCAAAATTTTCCCATCATCCCAAACAGAAATGCGTAGCCATTAAGCGTTCATGCCCCAGGTTTCCTTCCCTCTAATCCTTGGTAACCTCTAATCTACTTTCTGTCTTTGAACTTGCCTAGTCTAAA